CACAATCGATACCGATGTCCGCACTGATGTCGACGCGCTTCCACAGGCTGCGTGTTGGTCAGCTAACGGGTACGCAACGCGCTGTGCAGCACTGCGGCGCCGGTTGCGTCGGCCGGGCGCTGCGTTTCCTGTACGCAATAAGTCCGAAAAGAAACGAACGATTTGGATTTTAGGAGGGAAAGCTAGAATTTAAACAATAATGACTCGTGCAATGGGATATATTTATAATAAGAAAGAGTTCGAAATATACAACAAATGATAATCAAATACATCGGAATAAGCGAAATAAAAATAGACAAACTAATGAGACGATACTTGTTCATCGGTATTGTGAAAAAATCATATTAATGGATCCATCACGTCTACGGTGTCATTTCAAACACTGTGACAGCAAAGTCACAGTTCTAGGAATGTAGAGGGCAGAAAAAACAAAACAGTGGTCTACTGAATAAATTAAGGGATATCACACATTTATATTTTTACGAGGCATTTAATGAAGAAATGTACAATGAACTATTTTTGACATAAAGGAGTACGAATTATAATAGTAAATTAACATCCAGGCATCGCGTTCTATCCTAAAACCAGACACCAATTCATGGTTCTCTAAGATATGTCTCTTATTTGGTAACATTAGTATAATTTTATTGACGAACTAGGGGAGCCAAAACCGCCCATATTATCTCGAATTATTTGTATTGTGTGTGTGTGTGTGTGTGTGTGTTTTCTTCAGACAAGACACAGACGGACAGGCAGAAAAAAATTGCATAGTTGTAAATTGAGGTAAACGGGATGCAAACTACAACAGTCTTGTATGACCTTGGTGCGAAATTTGCCCCGTTGCTTTCAAAGTTGACTGAAGTCTAATAACCTACTGGGCCAACATTAACGCTTCGTGTGAGGAAATGAATGTTACATCGTGATTTTTATTGAATAATTACATGCCTTAGGTCAGTTAGGTCCTTGGCAACAAAAAATGAACAAACCGAATATTAAATACAGAAAATGAGAAGCTTTACAAATGCAACACCCGCATCAAGAACAAAACTATTGTAGGTGGTTAAATAAGATTCGAATGGAGATTATGGAGGTTCAAAATATATAAATGTAATTCTTTTGTTTTTATATTGTGCTATGACGACATATGTAATTAAATGATAATTATCAAGTTTTTATGAATATAGTATATATGTTGCTGATAGTAATTGATTTTATAATAAATGATAATATAGTAAGTGTTAACAAGTATGATCAGGTATTAGCCTAATTGACTGTATAGTAATTGTTAATATTTCCTTGTGATATAGCTATTATTTGAAAACGGCATGATGAAGGCGAAACGACCCTGTAAACGTTGCCAATGAACTTTGTGAAGTGTAATCAATATGTAAAATAATCATTCCTGTTTTGGTAAATTTTAATGTCTATAATAAACATTACGAACTTAATACTAATTATTTGTAATCTCATTACAATAAGTTTATTATTATTATTATTATTATTATTATTATTATTATTATTATTATTATTATTATTATTATTATTATTGACGAATTCTCCCCATTGATGGAAGATGCTAAGCAAGACTACTCATTTTTTCTGTTGTTTCTTCTTGTTTTTCCATATCATTTCATTCATTCTTCTTCTTATATTATTATTATTATTATTATTATTATTATTATTATTATTATTATTATTATTATTTATGCGTTACGTAGTTCTAGTTTTACATAAATAACAGTTGTGTGTCTGATATTCATCTGCCTGCTAATCGGGCGCAATATGTTACATTCAAACGAAGCGCGGTAAATTCTAATTAACCATTTCGATTTTTTTTCCAATTTTTGAAAATATAGAGTGCCCCTAAAATGGGTTCAGCACCACTTCTTTACCGTACGTAAGACGTCCACTACTTTACATACGTAAGACGTTCTCGTATTTGTTTTCTATTTTTTGCCACGTGCCATCTATGGCTGCCAAAAGTACATTTTTTGGCAGTTTCTCAATTTTCAATTTCTTAATACTAGAATCGAAATATTACTTTAAGAATATTGATCCTCGCACTTCAACTTCAGTATTTTGATATCACTGAGTAATTGGGCTTCATTGTAAAGACTGTCGACCAGATTAATCAAATTTTTAGAAGCTTATTTTTTTGTACAACTTCAGGCTAGTCAAAGAAGTGAAGTCGAAAGACCATGGCTTTAAGTACAGGCAAGAGTATGACAAATTGCAACACATTTTCTGCTCAGTTATTCATTGATTTTCGCCTTTTCATTGTCAAACACTGCAGGAAAGTGAGTAAAACGGCTGGAGAGAATTCTCGGTGCCTCTGAGAAAGCCATCACAGAGATACGATGAGTTTTCAAAAACCTGTTTGGCAATAGCTTGTCTGACTGCAGCAGCAACTTTCACAATCTGGAGCAATTCCTGCTCATTATTTTTCTACTTTCATACCATGCACCATTCAGATTCTTTATGACATCGGCAAAACGTACAATAGGAACCCTATTCCCATTTTGGGTTATTAATACAGAAAGCGAACATGAGCAGCCTTGGTGGCTTTCTATTAAAGAAACGAATTACTGTCACGATATCACCTACATTAACAAAGGAGTTATTTAGCTCCTTTAGGATTAACAAGCTCGTTTTACTACCGCCTACTGTTGTTCTCAACTTAACAAAGTTAATTACAACAATTATAATGGAAAATCCTGTCGGCAGCTACTAAAGCTTTACTAAAAGTCCCTGTATGACCATAACAGGTTACATTTATCCTACCCTACCTAACATACAGTAAATCAACAACAATATTTGTGATATCATCAATGATAATTGAATCAATGGGATCAATTGAATCATGGGAATCTGTAGCCATCAGGCCAGTTTTCACTTCTGATCAAGTATCATTTTTATTAGCGACGAGTATGATTAGGTCTATACGAAGCCTATCCACTGGCTTCATTCTCTCTATTGTAGTATTGTTCGTGAATCATTTCAGCACAGATCGGTACAGACGTTCCCGAATAAGTTTTTCATTTCTTTTAGTCTCTGTTAGTTATTGCCACATACTCACGCCACCTGCCATCAATCGCCGCCCAAAGTACATTTTTTGAAATTCTCTTACTCTTTCGGTTTGATAATAGTAAAACGGAAATATTATTTTACGAATATTAAAGAACAATAAAACCTCGTGCCAATTGGCAATATTCTTTGAAACATTTGGAGCGGATTTTAAGAAAATGGCGTTTAATCACTACTGTAAATTCGAAATTTATAGTTCTTTTCACAGAAAACTGTTGAGTTTTCGAAAAACTTCATGTGAAGTAATTCCAAGTGCTTCCACTCACAAATGCAACAGAGTTTTACAAATCGCTGCAGATGTGCGCATTAAAGGTGCGATATATTTAAAAAATTACATTTGTGTAATTTAAAAAACAACAACAAAATATACTAAAATTATTTCCGCCATCTTAAACACTGAATCAGCACTATCCGTTGGAAACGTTTGAAGAAAAATATTGGAGCTATTTCTGAGAAAATGGCGTTTCAGTGTCTCTAAAAATGCGGAATTTTGAGCTCATTTTCACATAAAACTGTTGAGTATTCAAGACATTGTATCTGAGATTTAAGGCACATGTGCTCATAAGGACCGCTTGTGTAAATTGCCGCTAATGTAAATATTAGTAACGTGGGAGTAGTCAAATAAACTACATTTTTGTATTTTGTAAAAAAAAACAACAAAAAATACAATATGGTGTTTATGTCATCTTATAGAGTGCATTTAACACCATTCCTACCAAAGTTTAAAAAAAAATGGTGGAGCAGTTTTTGAAAATCTTGTTTCTGTTATTGCACATAATGCACGCAATATTGCGCGAAAATTACTACAACTTTGAAAATATGTACATGACCTTAATAAAAGAGCTAATTATGGGCAACAACTTTCATTTGAAGGAAAAATGTTAAATTTTGTAGCTGTAAGAAGACACCCAAGAAAAGTCATACTTTACATTAGATTTTGTGATGGGCTGTATGCCACTTTTATTAGAGTACTTTACCCTAATCTAACAAGAAATTTGAAGAAAAAGTTTGGATTCGTTTCTGAGAAAATTTTGATAAAGTCCGGAAGACTTCAAGTAAAGTACTTCTAAATTTTAAAGAAATTTTTTCAAAATCGTGGCGCCTCGAGTGGAGCCAGATTGACCAGGGAATATCCATTTTGGGATAAATTGCACGAATGGTTTAGGCGCTTTCACAGACTGATATTTTGAAAACCACATTTTCGGCATCGGGCGATCCAAACCAAATTGAAATCTCGAAATCGAGTTTTCGCAGCATTACATAACTTCCTCTATACTACGAATATTACTCCGTGTAAACGTATGAATGTAAGAACGATTGTCAACAAAAGCGAGGCGATATCAATGCATCAACATCCTCCGCGAAATGCGAGGCAAAATCTTCGAGATGTTCGTATTCGGTAAGAAGAGCAAATGAAGGGCGAAAGAAATGCGGTTTCTCACAAGACATACAAATGAAAAAATTGTTTGGACACAGCAGGAAATGTGGATCACACAACGACAAGCCCCTTCAACTTTTCATGAGCTGACTGAGCATAGTAAATCATTTTCCACCTACAACGTTTCTTCAGGTGTATGGAAGCAGTTCCAAATTATAAGTTTAACGGCAGTTGTTTTTCCTAAATCCCTCAGATCCCATATCTTATTGGTTTGTTCTATGTAGTTATTTCGTACTGCTTATGCGAATAATTTACATACTCCAGACTTCTCCGCTGTTACACAAGACCCAGTTCTAATTATCACAAAATTCGTATCGTATTGTGCACATTACCATACCCGACAAAGAAGAGAAAAACGTATTTTGTATTTTTTCTGAGGTGGTGTTTAGTATTGACGCACGCGCAGAATCCTGAGGCAAAGGGTTACCATATTACACACTTCACTTAAAGTGGTGCAAAACCTCGTGAGAGCACTAACCTGTGACGGGAGCCTCTATATCTATCATCGTCTTCTCTGCGCGTAGAAGAGTGGCGCCATCGTTGATAATTCGCAACGCTGCCGCCTCGTCGATACGCCCTTCCAAGATGAAGTGCTGTTTGAGGACATCAGGGCGAGGTTTGCCGGTCCGTGCATCGAATACTTCTGCCGTTGTCAACTTGTGACTGGGCGGGAATGGAACGCCTGAAAAATAAAGATTTTTAGCAAATCTGAGCCATAACAATTTCTTATATTTAATAGTTACTAGTAATTATTATTTACAAAAATAGTTTTAATCCCCCTATTCGGAATAACAGTAATACAGACACATATCGAATCACAGCCAGAGACGGAGAGAGAGAGGGTGAGAGACAGAGCGAGAGAGAGAGCGAGAGACAGACGGTGAGAGACAGAGCGAGAGACAGACGGTGAGAGACAGAGCGAGAGAGAGAGAGACAGACGGTGAGAGACAGAGCGAGAGAGAGAGACAGACGGTGAGAGACAGAGCGAGAGAGACAGACGGTGAGAGACAGAGCGAGAGAGAGACTGTGTGAGAGAGAGACAGAGAGAGAGAGAGAGACAGACGGTGAGAGACAGAGCGAGAGAGAGACTGTGAGAGAGAGACAGAGAGAGAGAGAGAGAGAGAGAGAGAGAGAGAGACGGAGAGGGTGACAGAAAAAAGGGAGATGCCAGGCAGAACAACGTCAGCTACATTCCGCGAGTTTGCCATACATGGATGAAAACAAGAATCTTCTATTTTTTTCGGTATCATGAACCCACCAAAACGGGTTTTCTGTCGCATTACAATATATTCTCTATACTACGTAGTGAGTATGAGTGAAAGTAAAAATATAGCGTATAATTAGAAAGTAAAGTAAAACATACAAGTAGACTTTGTGCTACTCTACTCCTCGTACAATATAGTACAAGAAAGGTCGAATTATTGTCATACCGCCAGACCGGGTGTTGGTAGAGTTTGGCCGTGAGAAAGCCTGCTGCTTTGTAGATGATCGATGTGGCTACTCCGGTAATATACGCAGTAGGAGAGCCCTTCATCCAATGCGCAAGGAATGGCCACAGCCGCTCGCCAACAGCGCCGAGCTGCGGCCGCGCCTTCCCCACTATTTCCAGCGCACACAAAATCTAATTCGGACACTAAGTGCCTATAACTTTGTGTTGAGCGTGGCCTGAGGAAACGCTAGCGGCGAGACAAGGAAAAGGCAGGCGGAACGAAGTAGGAGAGGAAGAGGCATGGAATGAGGACGGAAAATGGGCGCGAACACAATGTAAAGGACGAGAACAGGAACAATGGTGTAAAAGAGCAAGGAGAAGACTCGTTCATTCGAATGGGACATGAAAGACGTAAAAAGGAAGAATCGAAAAGAAAAAGGAATGATGTAAAGAACACTTTAATGACAAGATGGAGAGACAATCTGCAAAGGAGTAGTTAGTACATTTAGTAAGTCCGTTGTGTATGTGTGAGTGTGTGTGTATATTAAGTTTGAGGTTTGGAAGTTTTTAATATAATATTAAAGGCATTATCCTTCCTCTTGAGGATGTGTAGATGCTATTGTTTTATCCCATATAAAGGTATACGAGTTATCATTATACTTACACCGCGAATGTTTTCGCCGGCGAATATTACGTCGCGTACGTTTGTTAGCAGCAAAGTGGACTAACCTTACTTAGTTCACTTTGCTTCGAACGGAGCGCGCCAAATGGGAGATGAGAAAAGTAATAATGTAGTGCCATATAGCGATCGATAGCGAAAGGTTGCTTAGTCCAATGTGCAGACGCTAAGTGTACCTTAACCTTTTACCTTACAAAGGTAAAAAAAAAAGTGTGTTTTCTACTCTGACGTACACATGCCGTACACACACGCACTACACACACATTATATATATTGTTGAACCTCGCTAATCCGAACCCCGCAAATCCGAAATTTCGGATAATTCGAACAAAATTCGGGATAGAACAAAATGAATAAAATACTTATGGTGTAAAGAAATGATTTTATAATTACCGTAGAACTGAACAATTAATTACTGAAACAGAAGTCGAAGTGAAACGTTTACTTCGCTGGTAACTACGGTGCATATCAGAGGTTTATGTGACAGTAATTTTCACTTGGAGGAACTTGCATAATTGATAATAATCTTTTGCCGTAAGAACTGAATCTGCTTGATACGATGCGATCATGTAAGTGCTACGCTACGTTGCAATTTTTTAACATTGCACGTTAGATTGCATTGAATGGTAATTCTACAGATATATTTGTATATGTACGGTACATTATTTCGAATAATCCGAACATTTTCGAATCCGAACAAGAACTAGTTAGCAATACCGGGGATTTACTAAACAGGTGTCCGGGAAGGAAACGTCGAAATTTCGAAAATAAGCTCTTAGGATAATTTTAAGCATATTTTATCTAATAAACTACATGGATATTCCGAGCCACAAAAAGAAGACAAGTGTTGGTTTGAAATAATTATTTCTAAGGAAACCTTTACATGTTCCTAAAATCTTTCTATGCTTTTGCAAAAGCAAATTGGTTATTATTTACAAAAGAAATTAATATATTTGTTCAGAAAGAAAAGTTAAGAAATAAAAAAAGAAAGTCGAATTATGTAAATGAAGTGCTTTTTTATTTCTGGGTTAAATTTCTGTCTGAACAAATATATTCATTTATTTCGGTTCCTATGTTCCTATGTTCCTTCGGTTCATGTGTCAGTTTCTATGTTCCTATAATTAAAATTTTTGACTATAAATAATTTTTCAAATCAAGTTTTGAGTGATAATTGCGGCTCATCCTTCCGGAATATCAACGTAGTTTATTCAACAAAATTTGGTAAAATTGTCTTAAAAGCCTATTTTCGAAGTTTTGATGTTTCCTCCCCGCACAACTATATTATATATATAGGGACAGGCAGACGTATGGACTGACCGAGGGACGGGCAGACTGATCAATTCTTGTGACAAACTTTTTCTTTAAAAACCTTCCAAAACGTCTATTTCCGTCAAAATGTCAACATCTTTTGTGCAGCTGTACAATACTTCCAGGCTTGTATAAAAAAGTAAAAAGCCGAAATAGAGAGACAAGATTAGGTAAATGTTATGTGAATGTAAGTAGCAATCTTTTCTACCTGAATACAATTTTGTATCAATACAATATGAGAAGCTAGATTATTAAATATGAGAAAATTTAAATATAAATATCGATAAATAATTCGAAGGAAAAAAAAATGATTTACTGTAATACCCAATATATATTAGTAGCATAGAACGAACAAAATAAAAAGCAATGTTGGAAATAAATAATAAACTTCAGATAAAATGATTAAACAATATCAATGTCCCGATCATAAGGAATAGTCAGAATAAAGACTACGCTTCGTTAAAACGGCTTGGATCAAATTCTAGCTGCACGATTGGCCAGAATTGGAAATAAACGCCCACAGCAGCATACGACGACGTGTGGCAGCCGATGAGGGGTTTGCCGAGATGAATTGACAGTCGTCGGAACGTGTTCTGCCTTAAGGCTCATGAACTGGGACTCTACACACGTGGCCGCCATAAATACCTTTTACTGCTGCCCTCAGCCTCCGTTCCGTTTGGTACCGTAGCGCGCTGTTTTTTTCTGCTGCCGCCATTACTCCTGTTTTATGAGCGTAAATTTATAAAGAGTGAGAGGCAGAAAGTAAATAACCTCTTGAGTCAATAATACGTCTTAGCGAGGTCTCAATTAACTTGGCCAACAAGATGTTTGAAGCATGAAGGAGAAACGGTGCTTGTAGATGAAGTGTGATACGTTCCTACATTTAAATACGTCATACGCGAAGCTACTTCGTAGATCGGCGGTGATAATTGCCCTAAAAAACAACAACTAAGATAAACTTAAATGCCTTTTTGTGAAAATTGCAGAAGGAATGGCCGGAACAACTTAAAAATCAGTGGATATGTAGAATAGCGTTGCCATAAGAAGCGATTGAATTTGCATACAGATTGCGTGCACGTAGCCCAGCGGCGCCCTCTTTTGTGTGACAGTCAGTCAGCTTATGGCACATTCAGTCGGCGTAGAGCAGCCAAACATAGAAATGTGGAAGAAGGTGCCAGTGTGCCTCTCGACGCCAAAGGGCGCTCTGTCAGCATGTGAGTTCGAACGGAACAGAATGAGCGGTGTCCGGGAGGCGGGTCATACAATGTCATACCGTGACATTGCGACTCGAACGGGGCTCGCTGCCACGACCACACACGGTGACCACAGCGCGAGATGTCTGCCATCGTATCTGTATGGCCGTAACGGACAGACCGGCGTCGTCCACAGCGTTGGCTTGACTTCGGAGTACTGCAACGGGTGTATGCGTAGACGATTCGACGCCGTCCGCTGAGACTGGTCGCATGCGTCCGTCGGAATCCGTTGTCCAGAAACCACCAACGCCTCAGGCAGCAATGGGCACGTGAACGTACTCACTGGTGTGCCGAGGCAAAATGTGGTGTTTTCACACGAGCTCCGCTTCAATTTGTGGTAGAGCGATGGCCGCGTACGTGTTCGACGCTACCGTGGGGATCGCAATCTGCCAAACTGCATTGTTCCGCGACATAGCGGACAAACGCGAAGGGTGATGGTTTGAGGCACCATTGGTTATGAGCGATCTCATCTCATATGTATGAAGGGTAATACGCCCGAAGTCCGAAAAACTTCCCCTCCTGCAATCAGCTTCGCGTGCCATATTTCAGCAGGAGAACGCCCGACCTAATGTCGAAAGGAATGTGCAAGCTCTGTGCGAAGAACGATGGGTACCACTGCTTCCCTGGCCCGCAGGTTCGCCTGACATGTAGCCCATCCAACATGTCTGGAATATGATCGGTCGGATATGGGATATGATAATATAATGAACGCTTATTGAACGTCATTTGTTCATTATTTTCTTTTGCGAATTGCAAGCGATAGTAGTTTTGACTCGTGGCACAGAGATCTGTGGGTGTGAGATTATAGCGATGTTTACAAAAGCCACGACTGAGCAAACGTGCACTTTACCTCAGAAAACTGATATCTTATCACGACGATGTCTACTTTTTTAAATACCAATTTACGAGTCCATATGAAGATTTGTTACCATATTTTCGTCTGCAATATGCCTGAATACTCACGTTGCGCATTCGCTTACCGTTTCATTTGCCTTCCAAGAGTATTTTAGTGA